TCCCGATCGTTAGACCGCATCGCCAGAAGAGCACCCCAAACCAGTTCCATGAGAATTTCCGGCCAGTCTGCCGCGCTCCCCATCCGGGGTCGCATGTCGCCAAACTGAACGGCCGTCAGGACTCTTCGCAGAGGAAGCGTTCCAGAGATCGCACTTGCGGGGGACAAAAAAAATGACAGAATAATGAACCGACAACACGCAATCATGTTCCCACTTTCTGAGCAATCTCCAACACTCCAAAATAGCATCCTTCCGCTGGCCCGCAACTACTCCTGAAAGAACACGAGCCTCCAGGCCAGGAAGACACCCGCGGGTGATGAAGAATTCCGACCGTCCTGAATGTAAACAAAGGACTAATCTCATCTGGAGCGCCGACCTTCAAAAGTTCTGACACCTCGTTTTTCTGCCCGCTGTATTAGCCCTCGATCAGCCGCAACTGACTCTTCCACTGCCGGAAGCTGAACACATGGAAAGCCTTGCCTTTCAACGTCAAAGTCCGCAAGGCATCCAAGTCGTATTCTTTCATAGGACCGAAAGCAAAATCAAAAGCCTCCATCGATTCTCGTCCCTCCATCCACCACAAAATGGAATGCAAATTGCGGTGTCTGCTTGACCCTGCCGCGGCACGCAGAAATGCCAGTTCCACATACTCACCAAGAGTCCAGTGTTCGAGAACATCTGGCAGATTAGCCGCCAGGATACAGACTGCTGATTACCAGTCCACTGATAAGTGCCTTGCCAAGCCGATTGCCATTGCTCATTCTGCCACTGGTTTTGCCAACCTTGCTGGTGGTTGTGTCCGCTACTGTCTGCTTGCTGCTGTCCAGCTGGGACACTTTCAGAACTCATTGCCCTGAACCGATGCCCTGTTCCGCGGCACCACTGCGAATCTTGGGGCTGCAACCCCTCACAACAGCATGTCTGCCACGGCGCGCCTTTTTCTACTCCCCAGCTGTTGGGGTCCCGGAGCCGCACTGGCCATGTTCCAAAAGACTCAAGGGCATTCAGATCAATCAGGCCCAGGCCCTACCAGCTTTAGAACTTGAGTCCTTGAACATCCGTAGATGGCAGCACACCAGACTTGGCCTCCAGACACGTGGAGGTCTGGCTCGCTACGTTGGGCGCGGGCTTCTCCACTGTCACCATTCGCGATCGAGCCAGAGCACGGAGCCTCTGCAGTTCGGCTTTCTCGCGCGACGGATCAAGGCAACGGATTCCCCGTCATCGTCGCACCAGCTCCAGAAAGCCCAAGCATGCTCCACGTCTGGAAGCAAACCCATGTAGCAATGTAGCCATTCTGTAGCCATTGGCCCGAATCCGCAGAAGGTAAGAGGCGACGAAGCGATCGGCACCGCCACAACACAGGCTAGGCTCACCCCAAAAAAACCTGCATCGCCAGCAGCTCGACCTCCTCGCGGGCCAAAGCCTGCCTCACTGCCGGAAGGGCGGCCATTGCCGCTTGGCGCCCAGGCAGGCGTCGACTTCAGCCTTGCTTGGAAAAGCGTGCGATGAACTCTCTCTGCTGAAGGTAGCCCCTTGAGGGTTGCGATCCCGAACTACTGCCGCATAGGTGCTGTATGTTCTGATCCACATTCCATAGTTCAAGCCGACAACCCAAAAGGATGATATAGTGCATATTGTGGAGGCCCGGAAGGGGCGAGGAGCCGACCTTGCAAGCAACATGCAGCCAAGTACCAACCCCAGCCCTGTAAGCACGAACTGCTTCTGCTCAGCCAACCCAGCCCTCCCCCGCACTCGAAAGTCGTTGGGAGCAGGAGCTCCTCGAGCAATGAAGCAGCCACTGTATATCTGCGTGTCCGTCGACCGGACTGGGCCTGTACGGGGAGGAACCACAATCTCAAAATCCTCAGCAACTTCAGTGGTAGCACGGCCAGGTCGGCGCCGAATAATAAGCTCAAGACCCGCAAATGCAGAACTGTCACTGAATCCACGCCGGAGTCAGCTTCACTCATCCATGCCTCCTGTACTTGGCCAAGCTTTTGTCTGCAGACAGGTGTGGAGGAGGTAGCCCCCAAATCTCAACCAGCAGAGCGCGGCTAGTGCCAATAGTAAAGCAACGGCATGCAGCCGAGACAGCCAAGCAAGCGACTACGGCATCGGATAGAAAAGCAAGAAGAATGAGAAGCAGCGTGACTCCCAAAGGCGTTCGGGCGCAGGTGAAGTTCAGCGAGCTTGCAAGCTGTCGAGCTTAAAACAAGACAGGCGCAATCCATTGCTCCAGCATGCGACCTCAGAACTTGAGCAACGCAGTCAATGGGAACTGCTCCTGGAGATCCTGGACATATTGTGCTCATTTTGTGGCGGATCATGTTTCCTTAGTTTCCTTATGCTCTTTGTTGTGCTCGATTTTGTGCTCCAGTTTGTCGGATTGTGTTTGTTCTTATGCTCATTGGTGTGCTCGATTCTTGTGATCCAGGTTTTCTTCGGATGGTGTTTGTGTGTGTGTGTGTGTCCATGTTGGTGCTCAATGTTTTGTTCCATGTTCTTCGGATCAGCTTTTTTCTTGTGTGCATGATTGACCTTGATTTCGTGCTGCCGTTTTTCCGATCGTGTTTTTCTTGCGCTGCTTTGGCTTGGCGGAAAGCACCCATCGCGGTACCAGTGAGCGTCCTGCAGCAACAAAAGTTTTTGCACAACACGAAAACTTGATCAGCTCCAACTATGGGCGAGCGAAGGTTTGTGATTGCAAAATTTTCTCGGGCGCAGTTGCGCAACACGTGTCCATGCAACGTGAAATTTGCAAACGTTGCAACGAAGTCCAAGCCAAGAACAGAAACCTCGCGCAGGCCAACAAGCATTTATAACTGGACTTGGCTTCTGAGCCTTCTGTGAACTCACGTACTGAGGACCACGCAGTGCTGTCACTTCAGCTCAGTTCATTGGTTCTTTGTTGGTTTATAGCGGGATCAAATCTGAGAAAACTCTTCTTGAGCGTTAGCATCGGCATTGAGTCACTCTGCACCAAGCGCTTCTGTTGCTTCTTTGCGCATTAAGCTGTCGTTTTGGTGTTTGGAAATCTGCTATGTTCCATCATGGATCGTTGGAACTAGAAGGAGATGGAGAGGAGAAGCGAGGAGAAGTAGAGCAGAGCCAGAGGAGAGAGAGAGACAAATAGAGAGAGAGAGAGAGAGAGAGAGAGAGGAGGGGAATCCAAACGTTTCGAGTTTCCTACAAGCCACCAAGACCATACCTGCAACTAGAGCTCTCTCCTTGCGCCCCCTGTGAGGTAAAGTTAATAGCAAACCCATTGTTTAACAGTTACAAATCTCGGGAATGACCCAATCTCTGCGCCGACACCAGCCTGCCAACAAAATCTGAGGCTGCGACGTTGGCAGACGCCAAAAGTTCTGTGATCTGCGCCTCCGTTGTTTCCAGCGCCTCTTCAACCAGGGCTTTGGTTTAATGTAATCATCTATTTGTTACAGTGCCTCTTCTACAGTGTCAATCTTTTTTTCGAGGATCAGGTTTTTCAAGCCACTTCTCTGCTGCACCTCCAAAACAACGGAAATCATCCGCTCAGATAAGCAGGAAAGGACATTACTTGAGGACTTGAGGCAACTCGGGCAGTGGCGTCATATATTGCTTGTTGAAACTTTGTGTAGAGATCCTGAAGCAATGCTGAAAAGTCAAGTGGAAGAAAGTGCAAAGAAACTTCCCGTACTGAGGATCTACGGATCGGATTTGTTCATGTCAAAGCTCATAGACAGGCTCTGTCTGCGTCAGTCCTCCCGCTCTGACGTGACTTGAGCAAGCTGTTGTTGAAGGACCTGCAACAAAGGGAGCCCCTGCTGTTCATCTAGCTGCTCCGATCATTGAAGTTTCCATGAACTGTCCTCATGCTGAAACTCCATGCGCTTCAGGAGGGTCTCGGACTGCTTGATCTTCTCCTTTACTTGAGCAAGCCGCTTCTTGTCCTGGATGGGCATGGGAGCACAATAATGTAAGCATGTGCCCTCTCCCTGAGCCGGGTCCTCTTTGTAGGCTTCCTTTTCCTGCTCCAAACGCTCAACGTCCTGGTCAAGGTGACAGAATACTGCGTGACATGGCCTCGCCGAGCAGGACAGAAAACGGTGTCCTGGTTTGCCTTCTTCATGGGCTCCTTGAGCTGCTTGCTTCCTACAAGGAGGAGGAGGACGACGACACCCCAGAGACACGCATCAACGCAAACTGCATACTTCGAAACTTCGAGCGGCGTGCGCTGCTCTAAGTCATACATCTTCTTCGCATCGTCATTCTCGTCCTTCTTGATGGTTGCATAGTCCTCTGAGGAAACAGAAAGGCCATCTAGAATTATAGCAACATTGTGGACCCCACAACAATGATGGCATAGTGCCCGAAGCGTACTCCAAGAGCAGTCCAACAACACTCCAAGGCCGGCAAGCGTCGGGGCCCGTTTCTACGATTCAGGCGTATCATTCACGTGGCAACAGCTCAATGAAGAGGCTAGCAAGCACACGGGGCTGGGCCTGGATCACCATGGGCTGAAAACCCCTCTACCGAAAAAGCCAGACGCCCAAAACCAGGAATGCAATGCGGGGAAAGCTCCCAACACCCCAGACTGCAAATCCGTAGCCGTGACGAAGCCCGGAGCTGAATGGACCCAACAGCATGGCCCTGCCACAATAAAGGTCAACCGAGCACACGGGACAAGAATAGAAACTGCGCCACGGCGAAAGCCACAGAACCAGAATGTGTGAGCACGTGCGCTTGGGAAGACCCTGCTCGGTCCTCCTTGAGTCGCTTGATGGAATCAAAGTTTGAGACTGTGATCTCCTGGTAGTAGACCTTTGCAGGCTCCAGAAGGCATGGGGTATCTTTTTTCAGTCTCTGCCCGCTACCTTGATCTCAGTAAAGTCCAACTGGTTTTTCTTCATGACCTAATCTGCAACTGAAGAGAACTGCATGGGTTTGAGTACCCGGGTTCTAAATCGACAGCAGGCCTGCTCAATCTGAGCATTCTTCGACCTGAGCAAGCCAGACTCCAGCCAAGATTGCACCGCTTGCTCCGAGCAAAAAGAAGCTGAAGGCCATGCTCCTCGATCTTCTGAATCTGCTTGCGTCGCTGCTTCTCCTGGTAGGAAATGTGTGCGTGCGTAAGCGCTGCCAATCATACGGTCAACAAAAAATCGTGAACAAACACTTCATTCAAAAATTCAATGCAAGTATCTAGTTGCAATCAAGCATCCATTTCTTCGCGGATAGTTTTCATTCTCAGCTCATACTTTTGCTGCATATCGCGGGCCTTGCGATCGAACCTCATGGTAGGCAGAAGAAGCTTCTATCAGAAAACTTGGACATGTTCAGGTCATTGCTCGTGTCTGAGTTCCAGAATCTTTTGGTCCTCGGTGGCAGCAGGGGACGTGATCAGCGCGTGGATAAACTTCGGAATTTGGACCCGATACAGCTGCTCTGCTGGCTGTCTGCACACTTGACTAAAACTACTGGAGTCCTGCTCAAGCTTCAGCATGCGGGTGAAGTCTTGCTGCGCCTCAAGTTGGGGACAACGGGCTGTGCCAGCAAGAAGACAGGCAATGGCCAACAGCTGCCATCGAGGTTGCGGCGACTTCTGATTCTTTCTTCTCCATCTTCAGCGCTCGCTGATCCTGCACTGACCAGTTTTTGAGCTTGAGGGATGTGTCCAAAGTAAAAACATGGGCAGTCAGCACTGCTGCTTGAAGTTGCTTGCAACGTCCTTCTTGATCTCTGCCTCAGTGATCCTGTGATGATCTTCTTGGAGCTTCAGAGACAGTTCGGCGTCAGTCTTGAGCTCCACTACCTTGCAAAACACCCATGATTTGACAGCTAAGCTTGTCAAGCCAAGCAACTAGAAGCCGGCCTCATCCTGTTGATGGTATCTCAAATGTTTCAGCCTTTGCTGAAACATCTTCAGCCTGACACGTGCTACGTTCGTGTCAAGACACCATGCTCTTGGATGGACAAGGGCTTTGGCTCAATTTGCTGTCGCTCTTCTAGATCTTGCAATTCTCGCTGTTTGTTGCGAAGGTCAGCCTTGCACAAAGTGGCAGGTCTGGCGCTGCTGCAAAAGACCTGCTGCAACAGGGCAGGTATCTGAGACGCTGGCTTGCTTCTCCGTGAGCGTTTTCTTCTCCACAATCCAGAAGTAGTTGATCTTCTCGCGCTCCATAAGGAACTGATGAAAATGACTTTCCTGTCACATCTAAGTCTGCAAAAGTCGTCTGGACATGTCGGCGGCTGCTCAGAGAATGTCAATATCCTCGCGTTCGCAATTTTCTCGCAAACGCTTTGCTTCCCTGATCATCTCCATCCTTGGCAGAAAGCTTGCATAATCCTCCTCTCCAGGACCCTGCGTGCTAGAACAGCTCACACTTCGTGCTCGTGTGCTGTGACACTTAGGACCTGAGGACAGGCACTAGTCACTAGCCTAAAAATGCATATCGGTGCCATTTGAGTTGTACCTGACCTTGCCTCGGGTCATGATAATGGCACCATGCCTAGATTGGGAGCCCGGCATTTCCCCATCGTGCGAGCGAATATCGAGCGATTGCTGTTGCAGCATGTTTGAGCAACCAATCAAGGGCCACATGATTTCGATTTCTCCAAGCGCAGGCCAGAAAGGCTGAGGTCAGGCACCCGCATGTGGCTCACAGCCGCAAGGACCATGCCATTGCGGCTTGCCACGATGCCAAATTCTTTTGGGCCCTCTTGGACATGGCGGCGCGCTTGCAGCATGCTTTCCTTGCTAAGTGAACCCTGGCCACCACTTTTGTAGGGTGTTAACATTGCTGTATAAGAGCGGCATCGGAGTCGCAATAATGCTGACGGCACTGCCTTCCCGGCAGTTGAAATGCTCCTCGAGCCTATGGCTCATTCTTTTGGGTTGGAGCGAAGCTGAAGCTGATGTTGCTTATCTCCCCGTGCCTGCCTTACACGCAAGCCATCTTGCTGCCGCAACTCGGCAGCTGGGGAGCGGAGTGTGCACCCAACAAATAGCTAGATGTAACGTCCAGGGCTTGGAGTGCAGCGGGAGGAGCAAGCGAGCAAATCCCAATGATGCTGGACGCGTGTGCTGCTCAAGAGGGAAGAGATTGTTAAACGAGGGAATCTGAAATTGTGGCTATCATCTTTCGCCAAGACCAAGCACAGTCCGAAGGTACGCTCCTTCGCTGGTAAGTGTGGTGGCCCAACACAAGTCCCAAAATCAAAAAGGCATGACAACTGGCATCCTACATGCAAGACAACCCGCCCCACCATGCCAAGGTCTGGATCATCTAGATATCAGAATCTCCTTCACCAAAATCGTGGGCTTTGGGGACATTGTTCTTCAGGCTAGATAGAGGCATGCCTGTCATTTCTGGCAAAAAATTTCACGCCAAGCTCTAAACTCCAACACTGCGGTACAAATTCTGAACCGTTGAAGGCGGCACGCATCCAAGTCATCAACTTCCGCGTGTATCTGCGCTAACTCGCTGTCATTGTATACTGTATACATGGGACCATGGCAGTCAGCGTCTGGGGTCGACATCCTGAAGACACTACACTGCTACACCAACGTTAAAAACATGTACCTGGAGCTGCTCCTGAATCACCACGAAGAAACAGTACTTGCAAGGTTGTCGAGATCCAGCGAGATCCAGGAGCGTTTTAGTTGGCAGCTGATGTAGTGGGATTGCTCGTTAACTGACTGCTTCTTCATTCCTCTGCTACAGAGCGGCCTTGAGAGATAAGATTCGCGAGTAAGAAATTTGCTAAACCTGGAAGAGTCTTGTCTGCAGCAAGCCCGAACTGGGACGTCGCTTGTCAGGTTGAAGTTTGCTAATTTGTAAGATCACGGTTGATCCTTTACATATGATTCCAATAATGATAGGTTGGCTTCTGACGCGCTAGGATAGATGCCTTGGATGGAGCTGTGGAGGGCAGCTCAGCTGTTGAAGCATTATGTTGTAAATGCTGCATGCCCTTTCTAGGACATCTCATCTTTTGAGATCTTCGCTTTGCGATTTCTTGATCCCTGACGTTCCGTCATATTGCTTCTTCACTTGCCAACGTCTTGATTGATTGCTGCTGCAAGGGCGGCAATCCTATCTAGGCATTCCTGGTTGCATGATCCGCCTGTGGACCTACATGTGTCATTAAGCTACACCCCGCTGCGTAGAGCAATTTGCGCAGCTTCTTCTGTAAGCGTCAGCATCCTGCAAAGCTTTGCTGACAAGTTGCCGCCTCCTCTCCTCATTCTCTGCCGCCTCTTGTCTCTTAGCGGCCTCGCAAGTTTGGGCCACAGAATCCTGATGGCTTCTGGAGGGGATGACACAGGCATGACGCGGCCTCCGGGTCCAGTGCCTTCTTCTTGCCGCCCTTCTTCCCCATGATTTCTGGGGCACCTGGCTTGAAGCATCTATTTGGTGTGCACAGATTCTGTATTGCTGGGCCGCGCACAGATGAGGGGCGGGACCTAAAGAACCCTCTTGTAGCTGAAATTGAGCAAAGGAGTCAGGCCACACAACTTTCATGTTAACATATGTTAACGAAACGACAAGCAGAGTCTGGCCGTGTGAAACGTTGCCATATCGAGGCGTTCTTTTTAGGGACGTCCGTGCTCAGCGGTCTGCTCAGGTCCTGGCATGGCTGTGCCCGGCCAAACACTTATCCGCAAGGGCCCGCTGTCTTGGGGGCCCATGGCAAAGACCTTGTGCCAGATTGTGGGCCAAGCTTCTGGGCCACGGCAGAGACGGCGTAGAGGTTGTTGCAGGCTGGCCGTTCGGCTCATTTTCCATACACAGAAGACGTTCACCCGCCCAGATACCGGAGCTTTTCTCCTTTAAAGGCTATCTGAAGTAGCCGACAGAAGATGGCATGAGCGATTCCGGGTCCATACCTCGGCAAACATCTTCGCATGTTTTTTAACGTCAAAAAAACATGCTGTGATACTGTGAGCATCTCAATGATGATGCAACTGAGCGGAATGCGGATGGGTGGCCCGCGGGTCCCAAGTCTCAGATAGGCTTCTTGAAAGTAGAGGTCCTGGCACGGAATGGCGCAGCCTTCTCAGCTTTCCTTACCCCAAATGTCAGGCCTTGACCTCGGAGGTGGCAGTGCCTCATCGTCTCATCTGGACATTCTCTGCACCTTCCTGGCTCACCAAGCCCCGGCCTTGGCCCTTGATCAACGGTGTGCCAGGAGGCTTGCGCATCGCATCAGTTTCACCTCGCATACTTGCTGCTAAGAACTCCCAATTTCGGGACATTTCTGGGAGACCTGCCTGCAGCCGTTGACCTTGGCCGTGCTCGTAGGAGAGTCTGCACCTTTACCATCCATGCTTGTCAAGTTTCAACCCATAGCTGTTCTGATTTGCGAGGGCACGAGAAATTTCAAGTTTTCCAGAATCTTCGCATCAGAGAAGTGGGTGTCAGCGATCGTGGCCTTGCAAATTGCTCTGTGATAGAATGCAAACTTGCACTGCCATGCGCACAGTATGCTCACACTGAAAACATGCGATGTAGAATTCTTGTCTGCCATGAACTGCCTACAGCATCATGATGACTCTCATCCCTGTGCTCGCGAGTGCCTTCACCTCGCCTTCTCCTTCTGCACGGTACTCCAAGAGCGTTCCCCCTTTGGCCTCTTCAGCACAAAGCAAACTGGAGAGCTTGAGAGCAGTCTTTGTGTTGAGATGCATGAAGCGCAAACCTGCATAATTGAGGGGGTACGGCTTGGCTCCAAAAACACGACTGGCTTTCTTGCACTAGCTTTCATCGGGCGCTGCCTCCTTGATTGCTGCTTTAAGGTTTGAGACCACGGTGCCGCTTTTGGGATTCGGAATCAGCTTCCTGAAGCCCACCACAAGCAACGCCTCGTTTCTGTCAAGACTTCATTTTGCCATTCCATGCCTTGGACCGAGGATCTTGGCCACTTTGAGGACTTGAGGCCTGGGAAACCCATATATAAAGATCAGTTGCACGGAAGGAACAGAAGTATGCCTTGCAGCGTGCAGAACCAGCATAAACCAGCATGAGCCAGCGAAGCACAGCACACCCCACACACTTTGATTGGTTTTGAAAAAATTGGAAATGCAATGAAGCTCAATTATATGAAAATCTTTGCTCTGAAAACGGCTCTCAAGGGGGCGAGCTCCTAAGTTATGTTGCAGTCACCTGTGGAGAGTTGATCACTCCACTCATCTATGCGTTGATTGCACACTCATAAGGAACCAAGTTGTCATGATGTGTTTCATTTTTTTGTGGAAAACTGTCAACTCAAGCTCACACATGCACTGATTGCTTGCTCACAAGGGATCAGGCTGCCATGCTGTGTTTCTGCTGCCTGTGGAAAGCTGTCGCATCACGCTATCACATGCACTGACTGATAAACTCACACACGCACTGATTGCAAAACCCTCAACCACGCAGTTGTTGCAAACAACATGTGGAAAAACTGTTATGGCAACGTCGGCCGTCTAAATCTCCCGCACAGGGGCGGTCTTTCTGATCTGCCACACAGGGGTGGTCTTCTGCAGGTACACGGAGGTGATCAATCTCCGCTTCCTTCATGGTGGACAGCTTCCTTGGCACAGGTACCACCATGGGCCTGTGCTCCCTGCTTTCTACGAAAGGCAAAGTTGTTGACATGTGTGAAAAAAACATGTTGCTCGTGAAAACCTCGGGCGTGACCCCTTGCGTCCATGCACTAGGATGATTCACACACACAAAGCCCCTGTCGGGGCGCTGCAAAGCGTCTTTTCCGTGAAAGGACAGGTCGGTTTGTTGTGAGAAGAACGTTGTAGCATGTGAAAAAACAATGAAGAATTGAAGTGCACCTGCATCAGATTTGCTCGGCCCTGTGGCCCTGTTCTTCAGCTGCTTTCATCGTCAGAGGTGCTGAGGACTTCGGGATCGACGATGTTGAACTTTTCCTGCAAAATTTCCTCGACTTCTGGCCATGTGATGCCAACGGCACCTTCCAAACACACCTCCCATGCACCCCAAAAACTGGAATGAACTGATCGGACTATACAAGTCCACATGGGTCCAATGGTCGAGACATGGAGTTTGGTTGTAAACTCCAATGAAATGTCTTGACGCAATTGTGGCTCCAGCGTTTGGAGCTGATACCCCATGAATGACACGGCCAAATGGCGTGTCTCGATGATGGGCGGCAGGCCCTGTGTGCTGTTGCAAAGTCTAGGCCGGAGCTGCTCTAGCGTCTCATGGTCTGGACCGGTCATGTAATGCATCTTAGCCCGCGCGAGAGGTCCATAACAAAAATCTGCAGAACACATGGCAAAATTGTGTATGCTGTCAAATCAGTGCTGCAAGCAAGCGCAAAAACCAAACATGGCATGCAAAACATGTTGGCGCCGCACACAGTAGGAGGCGTTCTTGTACGCCTCTTGGACTGCCCGCTGGTCGTGACCAGCTGCAAGGTATCTGCTCTTCAAGGCACTCTGCTGCTGCCGCAGCCGCCGCAGGCGTGCACATGATGCGTGCTTATCGGAGTCTTGCTTTAAGGCCGCTGTGGAGTATGGTGGCTGTTGTGGCGGAGCGTGGTGAGGGAATGTCGTTGAGTAATTGTCTGGAGTATCTGATTGCAAACTGGCTGGGGTCAAGCTCAAACCCCAGGAAATCAAGTCCTGGTTCGTGTTCCAACTCGACCGGCTTCACGTAGAAATCTGGTGAATGAATTGCTGGAAAGGATGTAACTGCAAAAACCTTGCTGGCACGATGAGCAGTCCGTTGTCAACGTATCTCGCGCAGAAATACTGTACCCGATTTCGATGATCGCACTCATGGAATTGTTTCGAGTTGTACGGCAGTTGTCTGTACGTGTTGACCCAGCCCAGCACTGCTCGTGCACGGCTACTACCATCAAACACAATGCTGGAGAAGCCGGTGACCCCATCGGGGCCCTACGCGTCTGTCTGATCACGAGCTGCCCAACTGTAAAATAGTTGAGCTCAAGGATGGCTTTGATGAAATTTGGGAATTGGCGGATGTGTAACGCGCCACGTCTAGGTCATGTTGTGGTGTGTGAGATGTGTTTGCATGCGCCCCTGCGCACACCTGGAACACCTCGGGGTTGGTGAAGGTGTTAGTAATGCACTGGTGGCACAAGCTCGGACAAAACCATATGAGGCGATCTGGACGGTGGTCTTCGCAGCGAATGACTCCCGATGGAATCTTCTGCTGAAGTGCTTTCATCATGTGAAAGTTGAGCGCTTGTTGTAACTCTGAAGCCAGCCAGAGCCTTTGTGTCCAGCAACACATTTGACTTGTCGGAAAATTCCAAACATGGAAGGTGTGTCGCCACTTGGCTCACTGCGACGGCAACGTGTCCGTTGAACACGTGATCTTGGAATTTGTTGCAAATTCTCCACAGCTGCGCGGGGGTGATTGCTCTGGATCCCACTGAAGATGTATCTCACGCCAATTGTGTAGTACGTGTTTCCCGGCGCGGTGTCTGGTAAGGACTGGGCGCGTGGATGGCACAAGGAACGGTGTCACGGGGCCCCGGCGCAGCGTGAGCCTCTGTTTGAGGAGAATCCTTCAGGTCCCCTGGCGTGGGCTGCACCCGCTTCCGAAGTTCAAGTCCAAACTTGGTGACATTGTCCCAACGCTGCTCGTCCTCCTGGAACTGCGTGGAATCTGGCCTTGCTATGTTGTACGATGGAGGCGGAGGTTGTCTGAAGTAACGCGATGGTTGCGGAGGTGGCGCTAGAGGTCTGCCCGGCTGCGGCGGAAATCCAGGTGTCGGATGGGCGCCCAACAGAAGCTGGTTGGGGGACCAGTGCGTTGTTTTGTTCGGCACGGGCGTTGTCTGTGTCGAGGTTGTGTTAGGGAGCGGCGGTGGCGGGGGCGGTGGCGG